AGACTGCTGAGCTAGCAGCTCCAAGGAGCCTTCTTCCTGTCAATCAGAACTGGCAACAGATTAGTTCAGCAGCTGGCCAAGGTCTACATCAGAGGCAGGGAATCATTTTGTGGTTTGGAGGGTTTTGTTCTTAATTTTTTTTTTCCTTCTGAGGGTTGCAGCAACGACGTCACCCAACTGGCAGGAGTTGAAACATTCAGCTCATTTCCAGGGCAGATCTGGGGTTTGATAAAGTTTTAAAGAAGCCCTTATTTTAATATAGGGGGTGGCAGTGGGGGGTGTTTGGAGTCACACCACTGAAAAATCATTATTATGCCACAGCTCCCTCATAACACAATCTGGAGTGCTCTGGGGTGATCCACATGTTTGCATCTGGTTTATATTATACAACTGGGAGCTGCCCTTCTAGGACTAGAGACAATGGAGAAAGCCCAGCAATTGACACCTTTAAACTCTAGATTCTACACAGTAAAGAACAGAATAACAGCATACAAAGTAAGAAACATGAAAGGGACCTTGGAAGTCTTCTAGCCCAACCAGGTTCTGACAGGTTCTGGAGAACCGGTAGTGGAAATTTTGAGTAGTTTGGAGAACCGGCAAATACCACCTCTGGCTGGCCCCAGGAGTGGGAAGGGAATGGGGATTTTGCAGTATCCTTCCCCTGCCACACCCACCAAGCCACACCATGCCCATCAAGCCACGCCACAGCACCGGTGGTAAAAAAAAAAATTGGATTTCACCACTGAGTCTAACCCCATGCCCCTGGCAGGAGATATTTACCCTTTGGTTTAAATGGCTGTCCCATCTCTTCTTAAAAACCTCCCCACAACTTTTGAAGGCAAACCGGTCCACTGATTAATTGTTCTTACTATCAGATAATTTCTCCTTAATTCCAAGCTGGGTTTCAATTTACTTTGGGTTCTCTTTGAAAATTGCCTGAATGTTCTTGGGGAATTGAGCTTCTTTGGAAGATGCATGGCACGCAAGTGTTGAAGTGTTCAGTTCAAGGGTTCGGCTACGAACCTTCATGGGAACTCTGGATTTCTCTTTTGCTGGAATGATTCATTGCAGGTTTTCCATTTTGGTCAGCTGAGCGCAGGAGCAGAGAGAGGGAGATCTAGGCCCCAAGGTCAATTTGAGAAGATTGACTATCCGTGGTAAAGAAAAGGTGCTTTTCAAATGCTCGGTGGCATTTTCTCTTCGGTTGTTCTTTGTAGATTCGAACATGGAGCTCCATGGTTCACATATTTCTTTAATGACCTCCAGCACCTTCCTCTCCCTTTCTTTCTTATTTCAATTGGGTCCACATTTAGATTCTGTGCTTCCTTGGGGCAAGATCGTCTTGTTCCCATTTGTAGTTTTTAACAGTATTTTTATTTTATAGCCAATGACCAGCTTGCACTCTATAAAACACCACGAGTGCTAAGAGCTCTATATAATTGCATCCAGTCATTAAGCCATGATGAGCTCTATCCTAAATTAGGCCTAGTCCATCAATTCCACATGCTTCGGGAAAAAAATCAAAGCGGCTGAAACTCAATTCCCATTCTTTAGAGGGAGGAGGAAAGAAAACCATTTTTAATCCTTGATTTTAAGAAAACGTTAGTCTCCATCAAGTTGAGCTTGACTGCTAGACAATTACAGCAGGGAATTTGGGCAACAAGTGGAAAGGTTTGTCCCTGCCATAATCCAGAATATTTTTTTCTACTTTCAGTCTATTCTATAGTCTGGATTCCTGGTGGAACCCAAAAAAGTAGTCAATCCTACTGCAACTGTCCTTGAAGTACATGATCCCATATGCTACTTTTCTTTAAACAGATTTCTGCTATGGTGATTTGTGGACCCCCTTTCTGTGTGATTTGATTTCCCAAGACCATTAAAGGGCAGGTGTGAGGCCCAAGGAAGCAACAATGACATGAGGAGTTACTTACAATTAGTTTTTTTTTTTTAATTTCTGCTTGCCTATAGACAGAATCTTGCCAGAGTAAAGTACTTTTTTTTTTTTTAATTTGATTTATATGCCGCCCTTCTCCGGAGACTCAGGGCGGCTTACAATGTGCTCAGCAATAGCCTTCATCCTTTTTGTATATTTATACAAAGTCAGCTTATTGCCCCCACAACTGGGTCCTCAATTTACCTACCTTAGAAAGGATGGAAGGCTGAGTCAACCTTGAGCCTTGGCGAGATTCGAACCCTGCAGTAATTGCAGGCAGCTGGTCTTAATAACCAGCTTAATAACAGGGTGCCTTAAACCCCTGTACTACCAAGGCTCTTATCTGTAGTTGTACTTATCTGTACAACTACTACATATACCATGCAAACTGCTGGGGAAGGGGCAGGGTTCACCTTTGCCCTTTTCCTGCATATCAAAGTTTCCAAACTTCTTTGTCTCTTTGCTCCTGGGAAGGAGCCCTTGTGTCAGGCACAAAGAATCAAGATCATTCATAAGGTTGTAGCGTAGAAGATTTATTCAAGCCTATACACAAGAATCTGGACAAATAAAGTTCAAGTCCTTCGGGAGAAGGGCGGTATAGAAATTTAATAAAATAAAATAAAATAAACACTAAATTGCTGGCAGATAAGGGTCAATGGCATTTAGGAGGGGTTGGGTCTCTTGTGGCAATGCAAATAGAGTGGAGTGGAGTGGAGTGGAGTGGAGTGGAGTGGAGTGAAGTGGAATGGAATGGAATGGAATGGAATGGAATGGAATGGAATAGAATAGAATAGAATAGAATAGAATAGAATAGAATAGAATAGAACAGAGTTGGAAGGGACCTTGGAGGTCTTCTAGTCCAACCCCCTGTTTAGGCAGAAAACCCTACACCACTTCAGACAAATAGTTATCCAACATCATCTTAAAAATTTCCAGTGTTGGAGAGTTCACAACTTCTGCAGGCAAGTTGTTCCACTGATTAATTGTTCTTAATTAATTGATGACGCACTTAACTCCACCCTCCAGCTCTGCCTACTCTCCTCCTACACTCTTCTTCCTGCAACTCTGGACTATATCCACATCAGGACAATTAAATAAGTCACTGCTAAGTGACCTCTCCACTTCATCGTACTTGCTAAAATGAGTCTATTGCTGGTCCTAATTGAAACCACACCATCACAATAATTCTTGATCGTGCCAATGAGCAAAATATTAGCCTCTCAAAGTTGACAAAGTTAAGAAATAGTCATGGCAAGGATTCCATGAATGTTACTTTATTGTTGTAGGATATCTAAACTGGATCTTGGAAACCTGTCTGTCTCACCCTTTCACAAAATTCTGAATTCCTTTACTGGTACCTTCTTTTAATGACAGAAGCTTTGGAAGGACTGGGGCCCAGGGCCACAAGCTCCCCCCCCCAAAAAAAAGCAGCAAAGATGCTGCTATTGTAACAAAAGGAGAGGAGAAAGAGAGCCGGTGCTAATGAGAGAGGGCAGAAGGTCCAGAATTTGGACCCAGAGATGCCAAGAGGAAACTGGCTCCTACAGGTAGTCCCTCAAGTTATGACTACAATTGGGACCTGAATAGCGGATGTAACCCATGATGCTCATAAGTATGAGCATCATGACCGGACCTGATTTTAATGACCATTTTTATAGCCGTCATAAAGTGACTGCTGCCAAAAGTCTGAATTCATTCTCCCAAATGCATTTCCAGAAATTGGCAAAAAAACAAAAAACAACCACACAGGAAACTAGCAAGAAATGTTGCAAATTATCAGCCTGGGACAACTATGGTGCAACCAAAAGTTATTGTGAGCTGGTTGTTGAGCACCCAAAATGCAGCCCTGTGACCACAGGGAGTGGGCAACACATTTTACAACAGCCGGAAGTGCTTTATGGGCTGTATAACCAAGGCTGCCTAGGCTGTTTTAATTCTGAATGGTCATTAAATGATTGGTCATAAGTCAAGGACTACCTGTAGTTTTCTCCCTTCTAAATTCCCATCCAGTCAATTTTGGAATTTGCAAATACAGAGAGTTTAGATAAATGTTTCAGCTGCCCGTCATTCCATTTGTGCAGCTGGCATCTTAATAAATAGCAGCGCTCTGCTTTCATTCATTTAAAGCCAAACATTTTTCCAAGGAAGTTCCTGGCTTCAGTTTTGTATCTGCCTGTAAGTGTAAGTGTACGTGTGCATGTTCATGTATAAACTGGTACAATGGCCTGCAGCAATAGAAGAGAGACACCCATCTGAATTTAAGCTGCATTTAAGATGTGCAAAGGCGAATACCCACCAAATGCCAAGAAAGCAGCCTTTATCAGGGATCTGAACTGCACCAACACTGATTTTACTCATTAATAGTAGCTGTTGTGGTCCGCCAGCAGCCTGCAGAGCTGGCAGCGGAGTCGGACAGTGAGGAGGCTGGGGAGGACAATGGGCCAGTCCCGGAGTCAGGGGAAGGCCCGGACGAGGGCTCTGCGTCAGAGGCAGAGATGGGGCCAGGGCCGTCTGGGAGTGATGCGCAGACTCCAGAGCCTCCAGAGGCGGACAGCAGAGAGGCAGAGGAATAGGAGGAGCCTGCTCCTAGTGCATGCATGCTAAGAGCTGCCATAAGGCAAGAGCAGCTAAAGCAAAAGGGACAACTTGGGAGTAAGGCCAGGAGATGATTGGCCCCTCCCATAAGGCTTAAAAGAGCAGCAACAGTTCTTGGGATCTTTGTAGGAAAACAACGTTGCTACATTTGTTTTGTGGGGTTTTGTCAAGAAAAGCCTTTGGCAGGGTGCCAAAGAAGACAAAGGTTTGTGATAAGGCCGAAGGACTGTTTATGAAGGATTTGTTTTAGAATTAATTTGGACTAAACTGAGAATGAAGTAATTCTCAGCTGTTCTAATAAAATATGTTTGTTTAGGACTGATTGTGCCTTGTAATAACTACTTGGGCCTAGGTCACAACAGTAGCATTGATTTGCTCTGGACAGCACCCTCAGAGCAATCAATCTTTGGCCTGTTAAACATGGGCTCCCTAGGTCCGTGATCTCTCCCTACTGCCACTGTAAGTCCCTTACCTTCTTGAAAGGCTGGCAGCTTCCGTCCTCTGCAGCTCTCAAGGAAAACGCCCAGCAGGTACAAAGCGGAAAATAGGGCCCTCCACATTGTGGGTCACGGTCTGTGATCTTGTACCTAAGGAAGCAGAGATTCTGTTGCATTGAGAAGGTCAATGTACCAGGACAGCTGAATCAGGATATCTCATGAATAGAACAATAATCCCCCTTTTGCATGTAATTATCCCAGATCTTTCCCCACCCAGGTAAGCAACATTGACTAACAACCTTTAGCAGATATTCAAGGCATCAATCCAGGGAATTTTCTTAAGGCAGAACAGTAGAGACAATTAACTGAACAGAAACGCCCTGACTCAATTTCCAGACAATTGTACCTGGATGAGTGAGAATCTTCATTGAGATCCCAGCATAGAAACCCTGAGATGGGTGCAGGAATACCCTTAATGTTAAGAGTTGGCACATTCCAAGGACTCTCTGCTTACTCAGTTTCCCCTAAGCAACTTGGTCTCAGACTGAAGAAGCTGTTTGGATAAGCAGTGGAACATCTCAAACCAACTAGAAAATAAGTCCAGTTGCCATAACTCAACTTCCAGACAGTAGACAAGAATTGTTTTATCAATTTATGGGGCTAATAAAATCTAAAAATCATACAAGCCAAACAATAACTGAAGACAACAACTAACAGGCTATGGCAATCCAGAGCACCGGCCTTCTCACTCTGTGTGCATGTGTGTGCCCTCCAAAATACATCAGGTTAAGAATCTAATGCCATGTAGGAATCCAGTGTGATGTATCCTTTCTTATAAGGTTATAGTAAGAGAAACTTGCAAGTCTGGATGTGTTTCCTATCTTCATGAGAAGTTGGGAAGGTCCGGTCTGAGAGGCTTTCTCAGGTTACAGTTTTGGCCCAGACTCAAATTTCCTTTATCTGACCATTGTCTTGGTAATACCCTGTTTCCTCCAAAATAAGACATCCCCTGATAATAAGCCTAATCAGGCTTTTGAGCGCATGGCAATAAGGCCAAGCATTTATTTCAGGGTTCAAAAAAATATAAGACAGGGTCTTATTTTCAGGGAAACATGGTAGCTCTTTCTGGTGTCCCTCAAAGCCATTCCTTTTACCGTCTACATTGTGAGGGTAGAATAAAAATGTCACAATAGCCATGCACATCAACCCCTACCCCAGTGGTGGAATTCAATTTTTTTTTACTACCGATTCTGTGGGCCTGGCTTGGTGGGTGTGATGTGGCTTGGTGAGCGTGGCAAGGGAAGGATGCTGCAAAATCTCCATTCCCTCCCCACTCCAGGGGACGGATACTGCAAAATCCCCAATCCCTCCCCACTCCTGGGGGAAGGATATTGCAAAATCTCCATTCCCACCCCACTCTAGGGGAAGAATACTACAAAATCCCCATTCCCTCCCCACTCCTGGGGGAAGAATATTGCAAAATCTCCATTTCCACCCCACTCTGGGGCCAGCCAGAGGTGGCATTTGCTGGTTCTCCGAACTGCTCAAAATTTCTGCTACCAGTTCTCCAGAACCTGTCAGAACCTGCTCTTCCTCCCCCCGCTTTTTTTTTACACACAACACATGTTAAAAGGGTGTGGGTCTTTGATCGCATGATTATGGCTGTCATTTTGGTGGGGCTTTTTTTTTACATCTCCCCATCCCCCATTCCCCAACCCCCCTCCCATAGACACATCTGGGATCAATTCTCCTAAGGCCCCAGGTGTGGTAAAATTGTTTATTGGAACAGGAAAAAAAAACAATTGAAGGAAAGGTTTACATCGACCTAGGATATAATGAGATGGAAATTTTATACATATGCATGTATGTATGGGGTTGTTTAAAGAAACGATTTGGCAGCACCTTCTTGGAGACTTAAAAAGCTCCTCCTGCTGTGATGGGATGTGTGATGATTTAGTTTGTGCCCCTTTTTGCAAAATTGAGCCCCTCAATTGTAATCTCACTTCAGGGAATCCCCTTCTTCCTAGGTTTCCCCATTTGCTATACAAGGAAAAACAACTCACTTTTATCATATATGTGTATGTGTGCTTATGTATGTATATGTATAGGTATTAATTGATTTAAGGAAAATCAATTCCTTGAAATTGAATTTGAATTGAAATTGAAAAGATTTGGATCTTTTCAGAGTGAACTTTTTTTTATCAAAGTTTTTTATTTTTATTTTTTATCAACATATTTAAATGTACAGTCTTTTGTCCATCATTAATCATTATTCATTCATCTTATTCTTTAACTTCCATTTGCTAATTAGTTGTTTGGGTCTGCTCTTCTACCATCTCCTTCATTTTAATACAACCTTTCCTTTTCTTCTTCCCTTCTCTCTCCTCTTCTCTCTCTTTCTACTTTCCTCATTCCTCCTCTCCTTCCCTTTTCTATTTGCTCTCCTCTTTCCCCTCTCCTCTCTTCTTTCTCCCTTTCTTACCCTTTCTCCCACTCTTCTTTTCCCCTTCTTTCTTCCCCTCCTATTCCCATTCTTCTTCTCTTCTCATCTCCCAACTCCCCTCCTTCCCCCTCTCTACTCCTCTCCCCTTTTCCACTCCCGTGTTGTTTCCTTTTTCAATTCAATCTGAGATTTTTTTTTTATTTATTTATTTATTTATTTATTTATTTATTTATTAAATTTTTATACCGCCCCCTCTCCCGAAGGACTCAGGGCAGTGAACAGCCAAGATTAAAAAACATATAATATAAACATTAAAATACAATTAAAAGAAAATTAAATCCAAAAATGGCTCCCCAATTTAAAACGCCTTACCCATAACCCTATAATTAAAACAAATTTAAAATTTCCACATGTAAAAGGGGGAAGATTTAGGCCAGGCCGGCTTGATGAAATAGAAGAGTCTTAAGCGCGAGATGGTATTCGGGCAGCCCCGATTTCTATTCACATATATCTTCATTTCAAATTTCTTTTTTGCTTTATAATTATATCTCTTCTTACACTCCTGTACATTATTAATCAATCCATGTATTATCTGGGTATAACATTTTTGTGCCATCATCTTCATAATTTATCATCATTTCTTAATACATACATTTGTCTTTCCTTTTTCATTTAATTTTAATATACTACAACTTATTCATCCCAAAGTTCTTATCTTTGCCATGTTTATTGTCTATACTCACTTTCTATCCACTGATAAAATTTTCCCCATATGTTATAATACTCTGACTCTTCTTTCCCTTTAATTGCCAATGTCAACCTATTCATTTCTGCACATTCCAATATTTTCTTAATTACCTCTCCCTTTGTAGGAATTTTTCTGCTTTCCAATTTTGTGCAAATATTTATTTATTTATTTATTTATTCATTCATTCATTGGTTCGATTTATATGCCGCCCTTCTCCGGAGACTCAGGGCGGCTTACAATGCGTTAAGCAATAGCCTTCATACTTTTGTATATACCTGCTTAGTAGGGCTTTCGCCCCCCTCCCCCCAAGCGGTGTTCTTTTTTATACAAAGTCAGCTTATTGCCCCCACAATCCGGGTCCTCATTTTACCTACCTCGGAAGGATGGAAGGCTGAGTCAACCTTGAGCCTGGTGAGATTTGAACTCGCAGTAATTGCAGGCAGCTGGCAGCTAAGGGCTACTTAACAGCACTTTAGTCTGCTGCACCACCAAGACCGTTATTACATGTATTATCAAATACATGTGTTCTTTACTGTACTTCTCTGAAAGAATACCCAACAGGAACAATTCTGGTTTTAAGTCAATATGTTGCTGTGTCATTTTCTCTAGCCATATTCTAATTTTTGCCCAATAGTTTCTCGCTTCTGGACATGTCCACCACATATGATAATATGATCCCAGTATCTGATGACATTTCCAACATTTAGCTGATTTATCTTTAAACATTTTTGCCAATCTTTCTGGTGGCATGTGTAGAGTGAACTTTGAGGAGAAAGGGAGTTAAGGGTTTTGCACAGTGGTCAATTTTAAATTTGCAAAAAGAAAAATTGCGACCTTCCTTCCTTCCTTCCTTCCTCCCTCCCTCCCTCCCTCCCCCTCTCTCTCCCCCCTCCTTCTTTTTCTTTCCTTCCTTCTTTATTTTTCAAAACTGAATGAAATCTTCAGGATTTGCTGCATTTTTGTTCAGATATGGAGTTTCAAACATCAAACTAGCAGTTGGAGGAAGTGATCTCAAACTGATTTCCAATATTTTTGAAGCACAGTTGATTCAAATTTGCTTTGAATCAGGGAAATAGTCCAAAATGAGCTGTAGTCTGACCCGCTCTAACTTTCTTTGACGGTATCCAGAAGCACTTTGGCATTTTCAACGCGTAGAGATTTTTCATATGATGAATTTAACACATTGCCGGAATATTATTCCGAGTTATATAAAGAACCACTTCCTTTGGCAAACTTTTGGCAACCAACACATTGTCTAGTAGTGCTATCTATGCTTATTTGGATTATGCTCTTTCTTAAAGACATCACATTATGGATGAGTTTCACACTTCCGATTTTCTATTAAAAAGTCACATTGTCATCAATGATATTATTTTTATTATTGTTTTACATTCAGTCATAAATAAAACCGCAATAAAACCAACAGTGCTGAAGTATATGGATGCAACAAATTAAAACAAAGTGCATTACAGTAAAGCAAAGAAACAGGCAATCTAAAATGCCATCTCATTTCTGGAACAATTGTTATCACACTATCAGAACTTGCAGGCTGAGAAATAAATCCCTCTCGCAAGAGAAACTCAGCCGCACATTCAATATCAGCAGATGATTGACAAACTCGATATAACCAGATAAGCTGCTCCTCCAGGCAAGAGAGAAATTATATTTATGTAGAAAATTTGTCTACCATAAAACACAGAAATCAAACCCTGCCTATTATGTGTGTGTGTGTGTGTGTGTTTATATGTGAGAAAGAGAGAGAGAGGGAGGGAGGGAGGGAGAGAGGGAGGGAGGGAGAGAAGGAGGGAGAGAGGGAGAGAGAGAGAATGAGAGATATATAAAGATAGTTAGATAGAGATAATGAGAGATATAGTAAGATAGTTAGAGATCAAACCCTATCTATATTATGAGTTCATGTGTGTATGTTTATATGTGTGTGTGTCAGTGGTGGGTTGCTCC